ATATAATTTTTAGTGTGAGGACAATATCTCACACTAGCTGATTGTTTCACACACCCTACTCGACATCATCACCACCTCTCTCCTGGTCATAGTGATGTTAAAAGCCGACAGAAATACACCAAAGGTTCACACCCAAGACCTTGTTGTGCTGTTGGTGCCACGTTTAAAAAAGGAAAAACAAAAACCCAGCCTTGGAACCTACGACATCCTCACGCATTTATTCAGCCGCCGTGACTGCTGTGGCAAGATATGCATCTGCCAGGTTTCTGAGGCATACAGAGCTATACAGCAGGTCACTGGCCAACAGAAAGAGACAGGGCGAGAGTTTAGTTACATTCAGTGCATCTTCTTCTTTTACCGGCTCTTTAGCGGGAAAGCTCTTACTCCAAAACAAGACATCCATCATGAGAGAAACATCTAGTTCCTGCCTACTGAATTGCTGGCATGGCTGCAAAACCTGGGTTTGGTCTTTGCCACCTTTTGGAGGCTGTGCCTACAGAATACTGGTTGTGTTTGCATGGACCAGATGTTTAGTAAAGTAGTGAAAGAGATTCCTCTTGATATAAATATATATATGGCATCATAGAATGAAAACCTTTTTTTCCCCTTAAGAATAAAGCAGAACTGTTTGAAGGGTTTTTCTTCTCGGAGCCCTTCACATTATGTCGCACACTCCTGTTCTGTTCTTTGACATGATGACGTCACGTTTGAATACAAAAGGGCTCTGGAGCCAGTGATACCACTCAGAAAGTCTCGACCTCCAAAGGTGCGCAAAGGCAGCTATATTCATTCTGAATATAGAAAGAAAAGATGCAACTAGGAGCTCCCTACAGATGTGTCGCACTGTGACGGGCTGATTCTATAGTTGGGCTCTGAACGTCAGTCGGAAGACGAGGCTCCCCATTTAATCTACTAGCGAGGTTTCACCAAAGATCCACAAGTGGGCAGGGTGGGAAGTGTGTTGGCTGCAAGCATGTAACAATATTCTCCATAACACCACCAGCAAGGGGCTCAAAACCCTCAATAAAACCATTCAAAAAGGATAGAATATCAGAGTCATAGCACTGACATGGTCCATGCTGGTAAACAGCATTAAAACTGATTAGCACCCGCCACAGTCAGCCACGTTACAGTGGAGATTCCCACCCTGCTGCCAAGGCTCTCCAGCTAGTGGACAAGGTGACAAAAGGAGCAGCTGTGTTTGTGTTACCCAGGAAGTGATCGATTGGTTAGTGTGCTAGAGTGGAGCCGACAGACAGACCAACGCAGAGCAAAGGTTTCAAAAGAAAAATATGTTCACAACTAAAGCCCCCCCCCTCCCTTTTAAATCCCACCGGCCCATCACTCAACCTGCCTGCTTGTCCTGTTCTAGCTGTGAGCAGGATAATTATATATCCGTGTTTAAATACACACAAAGCCTATACAGGCAAGGGAACCACCACACGGGGGAAAAACAAGGTTATACAGAGCAGGTTGAGCTGAGAAAATAAAATAAATCAAAGTTACATCATACAGAGGCTCTGGAGGTTATTACAGTGAAGGAGAGGACATGGAGCTCTGAATACTTTTCCATCAAGACCAGACCAGACTGGGCCACGCCAGACTAGAGGGCATTTGAAGCGGCCGAGTGACCCATTGTAGCAGACCAATAAAATATATTGGTCATGACACAAGTCTCGTCTGTGGTCAGGGACCACAGATTGGTATGATATTAAATTGAATGAATATAGTATTTTGTATTAAAATATCTAATTTGAAAAGGGATATTCTTAATTTGAAGTCATTGGCTAACTAGATAATCAGGAGGCAAAGCAAGAAAACAGGGAATCATTTGGAAAATGACTTGATTGTGCGCTAAAACCCCCGCGAAACAAACACAAAAAAATAAAAGTAAAATAAAAACAATCAGCTCACATGAATGTGATTCATAGACTGTTTTAAGATCCAGTTTAGATTCTCACTTAGGTCTCTGGTTGGCCTGGGTCAGGGGTCTGAGTCGACTTGGACTTTGGTCGGTCTGGCCTGGTCTTGACACAGTTTGGGCTGTGACGCGCTGGACTTGCCATCCCTGCCTACATGCCGACGCTGAAGGCGTGCAGCTCGCGGTGGAAGTGCTGGGTGGGCTCGGACAAAACCAGGCTGGAATCCAGGCAGGGGTGCCAGACGCGGCCGAGGCCCAGGGAAACCTCCTTGACCAGGTTGTGGACCGGGTCACCCTCCATGCACACCAACTGGTCCGGATCGAAGTCGACGCTCTCCTCGGAGACGGTCAGGACGCGGAGGCTGGAGCCACGCAGCCGGGAGATGGCCACCAAATTATGGGACCAAACCGTGTAACCTACACACACACACACACACACACACACACACACACTAATCTTTAGGATTAACAATGAATGTGCTACGCAGCTTTACACACAACATTGGATACAAACCATGACGTGATTTATGATAAGATACTGGTTGGATATTCACAGTCATTATATTTTTATTCATTTATATTTTGCTGTAAATTTGAATAAGTTTCTATTGCTTGTACTGTGTTGTTTGTTAAATGTTATGCACCACCCGCCATGTCAAATTCCTTGAATGCGCAACATACCGTGGCAATAAACGGTTCTGATTCTGATTAAGATTGCTTTTCCTTTCCCCATCTCACATAGTTGCCTGGGTGGAACTTTGACCTACTTCTACACAAACACAGGGCCTGTAACTGGCAGGAATAATAACTACGATGTCTCGACCAGCTGGTGTGCAGCATTTGAAAACATGCACATCTCTTCATGTGTGATGTTAATATAAAAGATGTCTCACATTGACAAACCCACAGATTACAATCACTAAACTCTGACATCAGCAGGAAATGGTTTTCAGTGAAAATAAACCCACATGTATGCTGCGTGCACCAGACAAACAGTCAGTGAATAACTCGGGAACACAGCAGTTAGCGGTGGACAGCTCAATGGAGCTAAAAGGAGAGTGAATATTGGACTTTCATCCATCAGAAGGTCACAAACAGAACTTCATATGAATGCTCATCTATCTCGGTCTACTGGATGTGTAAATGGACAACACCCAAAACACTTAACGTAGGTTAAATGTTGAGCTTAACATGACAGTGGCCCTCATTATCTTCAGTTACCACATGTAGAATTAATGATGCCACTAAAAATAAGCACAGCAATTCTGGAATTCTGTAAAACTAGGTTTCAACAACAGAACTGGAATGAAGGCATCATAGTAGTTAGGTGATTTGAAGCAATTGATTATCAGATTTAAAGATACAATAGTTTCTCTTGGCTTCCAACCCATATTTAGGTAATACATACACTACAACCACATGTGTATGCCATCACAAAGTTCACCCGGCACAGACCAGAATTAACTTAAAGTCCTATTACGGTACATCCCCGAAACAGCGAGCTGAACTCACCGTGTATCACCAGTACAGCCAGCTGCGTACATCTCCATGACAAGAGGACCAGCGGGTCTTCGTTCCGATTGATGCTGAGGTCGGGGAAGTCGGGGTCGTCCCTCATGAGCAGGAAGTGAGTCAGCGTTTTGTTGTACTGCTGAGAGATGAGCTCCAGTGTGCCGTCGGTCACCAGTGTGCTGTAACTGTCGAGGTGGAGGCGCTCCAGTGGTAGGCTGGGCTTTAGGACCCTGAGGAGCTCCGAGCTGTTGACCTCCAGGGCCACGATGTACACCCGCAGGTTGGCGCTCACGCTAATCTGGGGAGGAGAGGTGAAACTTGACAACAAACTGAGCAAGAGGCTGTCCTGGAATCATTCTTTCTGACTAGAGGGGGCCAACAAGACGGAAAAAGGAAGATACGCGCTGCATTACCAGTGCTTTCCAGTCGTCCTCTGTAGCGGTCCCGTCTAGCGGTTTGAATTCCAGGGCGGCGCCGTTGAGCAGCAAGGAGAGGCGATGCAGCGGCGTGCGAAGAGGAGATGCCAGCAGACCGCAAAGCTCAGATGTCAAATCGGCAAAATCCAGAGCCAAAGAATGAAGGTTAGATAGACGATCCAACTCTGATGGCGAGATGAGGGGACCTGAGGGAAAGTCAGGGGAGGTTAGTTGTACGAAACATAATATACTGCCGTTCTGGATTTACACCAATATAATCAAATTGTACACACAGATCCAGAAGAACCACACCTACACTTACCCAGCTGGTGGTCCAGTAAACTGAGGTGCTGCAGGGTCTCTGCTGAAGGGTTTGACAGGCAGGCTAAGGAGCAGGGAGTCACCAGACCCAGCATGAAGCTACAGGACAACCACCTCAGCTGCCGGCCGTTAGACAACACCTCCATGAACAACTGCTGGATTCTGCAGAGAGCACAGGAGAGGCACAGAGAGGGTGCAAGAAAATTAGCTTTAAGTCTCTTTACTAGCATAATATTTAAGACGCCATGAGAGCAAATCTAAGACAAACTTCTTCCCAGAAATAAACAGTATATGTGTGGGGAAGGAAGATATTCGTTTGTGCCAAGAGAAAGATATGTAAGAGAACAACACTACGCTGACAGAACATTATACCATATGAAACTCTGTGTGAGGAGCAAACACAACAACAGACTCTGGTAATCTGACAAATTAGAATTCAACACATTTTTTCTGGCTAATTTGAGGTTCACAAAAACAAGCTGACATCATTCGGACCTGTTCTGAAGGTATGACTCGACGACGTGTTTCCTTGTGCTGCCTCCCACCTCACTACCACTGAGCTGCAGAAAGAACACACGCTGGTTGCCATGAATGACAAATACTGGCATACCAAAAGGCCATCGTAATAGGCAGTGATCTGGATCAATGGGCTGTGTACCCCAAATTGAGTATCCTGACGCACATACAGGGTATTTATACATTATAGTGCAACATCAAGGAAGTAACATTACTCATTGATCTTCTTGTCCCCCTGGTGAATTTGGTGCAGTTTGGAGCTGTCCAGAAGTCCCTCCTGCTGGAGAACACAGGTGTCTCCATACAGACTCAGCTTCCGCAGGTTTCTAGAGAGAGAGAGAGAGAGAGTGAGAGAGAATGTTAGGAATATGAAAAGGAAACAACCGCAACAGTGCATTTGGTTTTCACTGTGTGAGTCTGTGTCATTGAGCTGACGGACAGGTAACAGTTACCATGAAAGCAGTGTATCTAAAATACATTCAGGACGGGTGGTTCTTCTTTTGTGGTTTAATCCCATTCAAACCTGGGAAATAAAGTCAAACCTAATACATGACAGTTCTGCCTTCATCAAGAGTGGGTTATGAAGTTATGTTCTTCCAAACTAACAACGGGTAAACATCAGTGTGTTCGTCATTACTGACACATCTGTGTCATAAAAGAAAGCATTATACCCCATTACATTTTAGTAACAGAGAACCAAACCTAGCAGCACAATTATCTCAAATGGATGGTTTCACTGTCGCCTGTTTGCTCGGTCAACATTTGTTGAAGTCATTACTGCTGGAAGTTGTGTAGCTGGTTCAATCGCATGAAGCGCATGAGAGGTGCTTGGGAATTTTTAACAGAAGAAACAGCAGCTAGAGGAGTAGTTTCACCATTTCCAATGCAAACAACATCAGAAGAGGGAGGGTTACCTCATAACTCAAACTGTAGCCATTTTGTGTAATATAATCCAGCCCTGTCCTGTATATTGCTGGGTCATCTCCTATCCCGACAGAAATATGGCTGCATTGCACTTCGCTGCACTGCCGCCTAGATCCCTTTATATCCCGCTGCCCAAAATAGATGTCCAACAATCAAGCAGCAGACTATATGCCACAAGTCGATGCTTTGAAAAGCAGTCCCACTCGACCGCCTGCATCTGTTTTGACGATGACGAAGATCAACGATGTAGGTTGAGGGAAAAGATAATCAATCACACGTTGTGCATTATGTTTGATGAAGCCCACTTCCTGCAAATGAACCGAGAGCTAAGCTTCAACAAAATGAAACCAACAGCAGGCTCATGTGCAGCTACTTAGTGTGGGAAAGCGCTAGTTAAGGAACAATGAGTTATCTATCCCCATTATTTTGAACATGCACCAGTACCGCTGGAGTTGGACATATGTTAGCTAACCTGAAAAACTCACTTTTTGTCACCTGATAACATGGGAGCTTAAGTTAGATATGACAGCTGGCATCTGTCTTTATCATGGGTCAACTGGTTTGAGTTGATAGAAATGGTAAATAGCAATGCAATAACATGATAAGCCAAGTATGGGACATTATATTATGACACACTGCTAAAAATACTTTGAATTACTCAAACTAGTGTGCTGAATGGAACTGGGACACCGGCTAGTTACATCAGTCTGTGTTTGAATGGAACATATTGGAAACTGCTCAATGAGAAGAAGTCAGACAACAGAAAAGGTTTCAACGCCCTCAGCAGAAATAAGACACGAACAGTGGATGGCTGCTATTTTCAGCACTACAAAGCACTGTAGAGAATAACAGAGAACGTGGGAGAAGGTATAACAGAGAGATAAGTTCTGCACTGAAAGTAGGAAGCTTAACGTTCAAAGGAACGTTTTACTTCCACAGCAGAAATGAGCCAAGTGGCTCGAATGCATGTGTGCAGCACATCGATGGTCACATCTCACATTATGCAACGACATAGCAGAGATAAATGCGTATCCACATACACTAAATATGTGTGTGTGTGTGTCAGTGCTGATATCAGCAGGTCGTGGCCAACAAAGCCTTCTCTAGCCACCACCACGGCTGCTGCATTGTATCTGCTGGTATGAAGACCCCAATGTGACGTAGAAAACACAACTGGCAACAAAAGACACGCAGACGAGCGTTTAACTCGTCAATGAAGCCTACATCATACATACGCTGTATCATTATTTTACGTCTGTATACATATGACAAAGCAAAACAATACTGATATATGAATAACGTGTTCAGAGGTATTAAGATAACGTTGGATGCTGACTCCAGCGCAAAGACACGACCCTATTACGTAACTCCTAATGTCAGGAGTTTGTTTATAGCTAACTAAGCTAGCTAGCTGCTAGCTTACTGCGACGCACCAAAATACTACGAAATTACAAAAAAAGTGGAGTAGGGAGTCACGCAAAACCCTGAAATTTAATGTAAACAAACGCTCAAAATTGGATTTTGGAGCAAATTTAACAATACCTGTTGTTGCGGATGCTGGAGAACACACACAGCACCTGGTCCAAGTAGGTGGCCATGGCGTCTCTCCATCGCTCGGAGAGCTGCGGGTCGCTGTCGGGCTGGTCCATCCTGGCGGACGACGGGTCGCTGTTCAGAGGACTCAGGTAGCCTTCCACCGGTGCGAGCTCCAGCTGCAGCTCCCGCACGAAGGAACCGAACTTCCGCATGAGAAACTCCAGCTTCGGGGTCTCCTCGGAGCTGGAGCCGCCGCCGTTACAACCACCACCTATCCGCAGTTTGAGCTCGGTCCACAGCGCGGGGTAGAAGAGACACTCCCTCCATCGAGAGCACACGGCCGAGGCCCGCAGCTTGTCTCGGTCCGACAGAAAAGAGAAGATGTGGACGATAAGCTCGCTGGGCAAAGCCATGGCTCCGACACCCCCGCACAGAGCCATGGCGAGCTAAGAAAGCTGCTGTCCGAAAACCAACCAGCTATTAAATAAATGTTACAGCCGTGTTTTAAAAATGGGGGCTGCAGCAGCACTTCCTCCTCTCGGTGAAAACAAACCGTTTTCTAGCTTTGCCTTCAATACTATCGGACCGTACCACTATAGTTCAATGCACGGGAAACAAAACAGCTCTCAGAAGTGTTACAAAATATGACAAGTGTCATCAATTGTGTTTAGTCAAATTACGATTGTCTTTATTCACGCATGCTTTAGTGGAAATTCACCGTATTTGTAGTAATCGGTAATCGCATTGCCTCAAGTGAGTGGTTTAGTCCTGAAGTTCTGTTATTTTTGCCATACCGCCGTGCTCCACGAGAGGGCGGTGCTTATTTTGGAATTGATTCAAAACCAAAACACAACGCCTCCAGTTCACACCCCACTCCAAACACAGGTCAGAGGGTGAACAAAACCAGACCACAACATAAATGTAAAGGGACTACAGCTTTTACACAAATGATATGCCTCAAGGAAGTAATAGCAAGTAGTAGCCATAGACTGTATTAACAAGGGTAGCAGCCGGTATATTATAGGGCTGTTGCACTGGAATGCACTTAAAAGTATTCCTGTTATTTTGTCTATCTGTGAAATCATACCTATAAACCTTCACTTCAACCTTTGTTAAATAAACCAACAAGTTATTTAATAATGAATGGCATCCTTTCAGCCATTTGATTAATAACAATAACTTTAAATGGACAAAACATCTTATAAGATAGATTGAATAAGATCATCCTTTATAAATCAGGGATCAGACATTTGCAGTATTACAACAAGAGGCATCAGTAAAAAACAAAGCAAGTATAATAAATCAGTAGTCAAACAGTAAAGATAGTATAAATCAATTGTTTGCCACTTTTTGGTATGTGCGGCTGGGAGCAGTGTTGTATCATTGTTGATTAATGTAATGCCATCGTGTAAACTGCTCCAGTAAAGGTGCAAAGGTTAAATTTGTCATGTGAGTGTGTCTGCACGTAACCATTTCAGACATTTAAATCACAGTTTGACATTAATGTTCAAATCCTTCTGACAACATTATATGTTCCCCAAATGTTATTGATCAAAACACAACATCAGCTGTTGTAGATCAAACCTGTGAGGCTGTGGTCATGGTTCAGTTTCTCTACCCACAATTTGTGGTGTGGGATGGGATAGCAATGACTGCAGTGGGTCCGCTCATTCAGTTGCAGTTATCATCACAAGATGGCAGTACAATGACTTATCACAGCAGCATCAAATTAATCAAATTCTCCTTAAAACCTTTCATCACTACTGGGCCCCTATCTCGTCCATTCTACTTCAGTCACAACCACTGATTTCCTGACAAGTTACTTGGAGGAGGTGAGGCATGGAGAGAAAAAGAGAAGGAGATTCTCCGTTTAGGTCGAAGGCAAGACCTGAGGTTTTGCTCTCAGAGTCTCATTCATTGTGTTTGTGTCATTTCGATTGAAAAAAAAAAAACCCTGTAATACTTTTCATGATAGCAGTGTTGTCACCACCCTCTCACCTTTCAGCCAATCACGAGCCTCGAGCAACTGTTTGCAAGCAAGTTCAACAACCACTTTAGCTGTTAGATTTCTGTTCTGGTTGATTTTTATTTGAGTGGAAACCATGGAATTCAGCAGTCTGGAGCTTTCTTGTTTATACATTTCAGAATTGTGTGAATATTCATTTTCGTGTGTACAATGTAGAAAAACTGTAATACGTCAGAAATTGCATACAATGCACATACTAGCATGTGTAATATCGTTCAACATACTTTTGTGTGAATAAACAGTAGTATGCATCTTTTCGGACACACTGTACTGTAATAACTAAGTTCCTCAGAGCCTCCTTACTGGTTGGAGACGCATAACCATGGTAACACATGCCAACCTCATGTGACCAAACGAGGATTTGTGAGAATCATAAAGTCTGGACTAATTAAAAAATGTATCAGCCTAGTAAAGTGGAATCTTATTGACGTTACAGAGCTGTTGTCTGTTATGAATGTTGTCGTCATTACCGCAGTGCATTGTGGGACACTAATGCTGGCCTAGTGTCCAGTTTTTGCATGCAGTAATATTTAACCGCTATTGATTTCAGACATACTAAAAAATCTTTCTTTCTTTTTCTGTGAATGTCACCAACGTCACCCAGTTTATAATTCTGCAAATATATAAATATTGTAATACTTTCAACAGTGGGCCATCTGCTCAGTCACCATTGTGTTACCTTCTTTGTTGATAGTGACTGAACAGACATTTATTTGAATGAAAGTCTTAGAGATTCCCGCTTTAAACAATGTCAAAGTAATTCTGCTGTATATGAACACAGACACAGTAATTAAAACCCTCCTTTATTTAGTTTAACAAGGCTGTATATGATACTTAGCCAGCCAGCTAACTAGCTGCGTAGCTTGGTTTTTTAATATCGGAGACACTAGCTGTCACCCAATCCAGTGGCCGCAGTCCTCTGAAGACCGCGAAGGCTGAACCGAGCGGTTCTACAGAGGACTTTGTGTTTGCGTCACCAGCTGTTCCCGCCCTTATATATCTACATATACGTATAGCTATATATACACTACACATTCAGTTTCAGTATTTAGTTTTTATTGTGCTCACATGGTGGGTACTCATCAGTATTTGTTTGTGGTGAAAATACAAAAATAAATACTAATACAAACTAGCACAGTCACCTCACAGGAAGGCCCTCCTGTGTGGAGTTTACATGTTCTCCCCATGTCAGCGTCAGTGGGTTCTATCTGGGCGATGGTGATTCCCCCACAATGTCAAGACATGTTAGATTAACAGAGTTTATAAGTAGGTCTAAGATTCACTGATCCAGTGAGTTTGGTCCACCAGAGAGTCCTTAGATGTAAACCATAATCCTCAAAATTAAAAGAAATTAATGCTTGAAATATATCACCTTGTGTGTAATGAATCTGTATAATATAAGAGTTTCACTTTTTGAATTGAATTACTGAAATAAAGTAACTTTTCGATGATATTCTAATTCATTGAGATGCACCTGTATAACCGGACGACTCGCTCTACCCCATGAGCCACATCCGTCCCTGTGTATGTAAATACGTATTAATCCATAACTGACTTTAAAGACCATTGTAATACATGCATGTATACTATTACATCAACAGGGAAATTATTAAAATGATTTACAATTGGTGACACACTTCTGGTTTATTATGCTTTATTTAAAAAAAAAAGTAAACATCAACAGCATTTTTGAAAGAGTGTGCTTCTGTATTCACAACATTAAATACACCAATTAAGCTCCTGAAAGGGTTTTCTTTACAAATGAAAGAAAGCTAATATTATTATATACCAGTTAAATAAAAGTGGAAACAATAATAATTTCTGCGTGAATCGAGCAGAAACATCTTGTTCTTCAATGCAAAACTTTTTTCAGAGAAAAAGAAAAAAGTTAAATCATTGAAAAAAAGCTGCCTTTTACAGTCACTGTGTTCTTTTTAATAGGCTAATAAAAAGTTAACAGTATGGAACACTGTCTTCCTATCAATATTAGGATATGAGGCAATAACAGAGATTATCCGAGCAAAGGACAATACAGATGAGAATACTATCTACATTAAAATATGACAATGCAAATTAGAAGAGCGCTAACGGAAGACATGTATTTTACAATCCTCTGTGTCTCTGCTAACACTGCCGGCTCAAGTGAAGCCTACCGGAACATTCACATTTGTGTAAAAGTACATATTTTCAGAAATGAGTCAACAACAGAATTTGTCACATATTAGGTGCATTTTCTTTCCCATAGAACAATGAATTGTTTCCTTTCATCTTAAAAGGTGAAAATTGCAATTTCAAGTCAATCAGAACATTATAAAAACATCTGAGCCTCTCTTTGTGATACTCATCTCATCCACGTACCGCGGCTCAGACTGCTGACTGGAGGCATCCCAGGTGGCAGCGGAGGGGGTAGCTGATTGTGTCCAGCAGCTGATGGTGGTGGTGGGTACCCACTGCTCAAACTAGGGGCCATCCCTAACACTAACGGAGGAGGAGCAAGCAAGTAGCTATAGGCTGAGAGTGGAGGAGTGTGGTAGGATGTGGTGCCTGGGGGGTAATGGTGGTAGCCCAGCGGTGGAGCACAGGCCTGGGGTACAGTGCTACAACAGGAGCCCTCTGTCGTCATCATGGATTGGAGCTTCTGGTAACCTTCGCTGGACATCAGGGAGCTGGAGGTGGGGAGGTCCATGGGTGGAGGAGGTGGTGGAGGTGGGCAATGGGGTAAAGGGGGGGGGGGTGGTTTAGATGACAGATTTGGGGCTGGTGTGTAGGAGGAAGGGGGTTTAAGGTCTGTGGGAGAAGAGAAAGAGGCTACTTAGCTGGAACACAAAGGTGCTTGCTGGTCAGACATTGATCTGAAATGGCACGCTGACAAAGACCATCCACTGCCATTCTAGCAAGTGACAAATGTCTTCTTCAGGGCTATGCACTGCATAGTGTGAAGTAAATAGTGATGTAACATTATTAACCATGAAAAAGGTGAAAAGTAAATACAAATATTGTGGGCACAAAATATTGTTACTGTGGTCAACTACAGTCATTTCATTCCAGTTTTATGGCAGTTGACAACGGATGCTCTATCTAAATGGCATTAAGGACCGAGGACACTGACCTGGGTTTATGGAGACTGGAGGAGGAGGGGGCGGAGGAGGAGGTGGAGGAGGTTCTACATTTGTGAGTTCTGGAAAATAAAAAGACAAGATACAGAAAAAACATGAATGAGCTTAAACTTACTTATACGTCATTCAGTGGGTTTGGTGTCTGCTAGCAAGGAGGGATTTTTACTTACTAGTCGGCTTGCTGTCATCTTTGGGAGAGGGCTAAAACACAAGAGAACATGGATCAGTCTGATTCAGAAAAAGCACAATTTAAGGCATAAAATGAAACACAGGCCCACTCACCTGAGCTGGTCTAGGTGGCATGGGGCTGGTCTGAGGGGAGGCCTTCTTGGCCAGCGGTGGGGCAGTGGGGGGCAGAATGGACAGTGGGTGGGGGTCTTCACCAGTCCCTATCGCTCCATCAGGTATCTGCTGCTTGGCCTGAGAATACAAGTCCAGGATCTGGTGACAGATATCTTTGTAATGAAGGAGAGTAGGAAACAGGAGAAGAGGTAGAAAGACATTACAACTTTATACTAAATATACGATGAAAAATGTGGCAGTATTCCTTTTACCTTCGAGCACCTCCACAGGCACATCATAGACAAACTGCTCCCACCAGCGCCGGGATGATTGCTTGGAGGTCCAGTCCTGGATGTCGAACTTACTGAGACGTCCAGCCAGATACATGACAGCCACAGCTATGATCTGTGGCTCCCACTGCAGGGCCACCATGGTACAAAGGCTTAGGAGGAGCACAATGAGTAAAGTAATCATATTCCCCTTGTACACACCTGTTAATCTTGCACATGATAAATTCCACAGAGTATAAGAGAAACAGAGTTTAAAATGATTATTTGACACTTTAGGTTATTCGGCCCGACAGAACCATTACTAGAACTAGAGTTTACTGTCCTTTCATCAAATGAAAAGTAAATATACTGAATATGTTATGTTATTTCCTTGGTCAACCTTAAAATCCAGATTTCAATCACAAATACTGGTTTTTAAGCTTACCCGTCATTCACAAAGGTCCAGGCCATCTGAACCAGCTTCTGTACCTTGTTCTTGTCACCTGGAAAACAGTAGCAGTTTGTCCATCAGCTTTCCTCCCTCTGCAACTGGATACTGGACTCTCTAACCAACAGAACCTAGCCTGTTAGGTTAGACAACTACACCTCCTCAACCAGAACACCACCTGTCCACAGGGTTGCGTGCCGAGTCCTCTACTCCCTCCTCACCTTCGAATACACGCCTGCACATGGTTTCAACATCATTATCAAGTTCACAGACAACAGAGGCTGGTGAGAGGGTGGTGAAACCTGCCCAACGCATCACCAGTTCTCCACTACCTGCCATTGAGGCTGTCCAGCACAAGTGGTGTCTGCAGAGGCCGCACGACACCTCTCACCCAGGGACGCCATTTTCTACTGTTTGTCGAGCAGCCGTCCATCCTCGACCACTGCAGGTAATGTTAGCAATGCCATACGAAGTTTGATCATAAGAACGGGCTGATCAAGGAAAGCTAATCGCTTAGCTAATTGTTTAGCTGTGATTGTATTTTAAGGATTTGGGAACTTCTTATAGATTGTCGGGTGAGGCTGCAGCCATGACCCAGCCCATGCATCTGCGTATGTGTATGCAGGTACGCATGCATGCGCGTGTTCATGTATGCAGGTACATTCGTGGATTTCAATTAGTGGACAGGCAAAAAGAAAATAATAAATAAATAAAAAATACTAATAAATAATAATGACTGTAATTTCAATATGAATAGGATGGGTGGTGTCACGTTTGTAAAAACATAGTAAAGGATGACCAGATGGAGTGGTGTTCTGTCGTACTGTATACGATGGAGGTTAGATTTTTCATTGAAATGTAATCTGTCATTAAGTTTTTCCAGTGTGTGATGTGTGGTATTCCTTGATTTTCAGTTCATGAGGATAGTTTTCTTGGCGATAGTTAGGGCTACGAGGAGTAATGGGCTGTTTGTTTTGCTCAGATTAATTGTTGAAATGTCTCCTAGTAAGCACAGTGAAGGGGATAATGGGACGAGGCAGGTATTACACTGCTGTAATAGTGTTGTGGTTAGATCTGTCAGCACAGGTGGGGTTGGTAACTAACTTTATCAGTTAAAAGACCAGTGCGGATAGTACTTTGACTATTGACATTTTGAGTGAACTTTAATTTTGAGTCTATAGTTTGGTTATTGGTCCCTGATCTCGGGGTGGTGCCCCGTTATTATTCATATTTGTTAATAATCTTAGTGACATTAATAATTGTATTAATGTCAATAATTTAGTTTTCATACTTGCTGATAACCAAACATGCTCCTGCCAGTTCCGAACAGCTGTCAACTCCAAATATACTCCTCCCTGTAGGAATGTTCTCAAATTTACATTTGTTGTTGGCATTGAAACAGTAGAATCATCAATAGTGAGCAATTTAAACATTTCTGCTGCTGCCGTTCAAGAAAGACATATGTTTGTTTACATATGGATAATAACATTTTCTCACAAAATAATCAAAAAGAACCGATAAGAGTATCGATAAGAGTACTGATAAAACCCTGACGATACCATCCCTACTCTCATCACGACCACAGACATGTTGACGCTCCTCTCCTCTGAAAAGGCACTGCTGTAAGTGGTCAATGGACTGTACTTGTATTGAGACCACTCCACCTTAACACACGATGTCGTCATCATTCACCCATTCACACCGAGCCTCTGATTGAAGAACGACCCTGCTCTACCACGGAGTCACAGTCGCCCCTGTACTGTTCCAGGACCAGCAGGCTCAGGCACAGCTTCTTCCCCCTCAATGTCACCTTGCTGAACTCTGCACCACGATGGCAGCAACCCTCCCTCCCCCACCCATGGTACTTGTGCTCTGTGCAATGACGATAAAGTTTAATCTAGTTAAATTTCTTCTGGAAATGTTGTAAATGTATGAGACTGTATTGTTTCAATACTAACAATCCTGGCACAGATTTAGGCAAACTAATTAATGCAGGCACACAGTCGAGGTCTAAAGTGAAGTTAAGTCCCTGTTTTTCTCAATATAATTGTATATACTGGATTTTTGCCAAATATCCAAGAAAGGGACAAAAAGAAACAGAAGTACCTTTGAGTTGCTTGGCATAGCGCAGCAGGAACTGGTAGGGATGATCCACCTGCAGGTCAAACTTGATGGTCTGCAGCAGGATGCGCTCCAACACCATCACCTCCTCCTGTAAGGAAAAGCATTCTGCCTTGAGCATATGGTGACCTACCCAGCACCCCAGAGATAGACAAACTTACAGTCTGCAGGTTGTCCGTTTAAATTCTGAAACTTAAAAATAAGATATGAATCTTAAAAGACCTCAAATATCAAAATTACGGGTGTAATGGTTCTCAAAAATCTCGGTTTGGTTTAATACGACACAGTGGTGCCACCGTTTTGGTGCCACAGAAGTGTCCTCGATTTTAAAATATTGTTATTCATTAAAACTGATATCATAAATTATGTTTTTTTTATTACTTTGAACAATGATTGATTCATTTATGTACAGGAAGCTGCAGCAACTCCAGTGAGTGTCAGACAACACGTTGTCTGTTACGTCGGGTGGGTTGTCATGTTGAGCGCAGTGGCTCCACCGAGAAAACATTATATTTCCCACAATTTAAGCTTCTGCATTTTCCAAATGCACTAGTATTATTCAAACGTATTGTTCGGTTTGTGAGCCTCGTACCAAACGGTTCAATATGAATATGTGTATTGTTAAACCCCTAATCAAAATATATATGAAAAGGGAAAAATGAAAAATAAATATTTTATTCAAAACAATTCCAGAACTGAATCTTATATTTAGCACAAAAATACGTTTCCTTCACTTATTTTTAATTTGAATACATTGTTGTACTTTTCCAAGTTCAAGACCAAAACTTTAACTTTTAGTTCCAATTATGTTTTTCAAAATGATCAAAACTACCGGCCTGGATTTGGCTCCATAGCTTCCCATAACAACACTACTTTAGGGGAAATAGAAGTCAGATGGCAACTTGCCGTACCACGGTTTAGCACTCTGCCGCTCCCGTTACCGCAGTTTCACAAGTGTGATGGAGAACTACGGTGGCTTTCAGGGAACAAAAAACACTAAAGGGCTCTCACTAAAGAGAACCAGTGTTTGATTTGTCCGTTCTGGGCTACTGTAGAAACATGGCGGTGCAATACGGTTAACTTCGTGAAGAGGACCTGCTCCATATGTAGATATTGGGGTTCATTCTAAGCTAACAAAAACATGATTCTTAATTTCAGGTGATAATGCACTAATGCAAACATAAACATCATATTGCATTTCTGCCAATAATTCCCCTGAAATGCTGCGCACTGAAACTTTAATAAGGCTCAGCAGGACAGCCCATACAATACCCTTCAATTATAAAATACATGATCACAAACTGTAAACACATGAATTAACCTGCCAAGGCTAAATAAACAAGACAAAAGAAGGCAAACCACAGGCAACAACATATTTTTGTTTAAGGGTCTTAAATAACTTTTTTTCTTTTTTAATTCAAGCATGTATAACAATTCTGTTGTTTTGTTTGTGTCATTTCTGCTAAATATGTGGGTCGCAACTGCTTTAATAAAGTTTTCCAGCACCATGGACAGTGACATTAAGACAAGATTAAGTCTTGACAGCTGCATGTGCCTTTATGGAAGGTGCATGTACAAACTTTAAGGTTTGAAAAAATTCACTTACAGTCAAAACACTGTGACTCTCTGAGGTTAATTGTGATAGAGACACAGGGCTGAGAAAAGAGAAAACTAAAGGCTGGGGATTGTCATTTCTTCAAGAAGTTCTCTGAATCCCTGTCTCAATTTTCCAAAATATCAGCACTTTCAACAACACAGTACGAGTTACACCCTGATGAAAGGAGTTCTTGCTACAGACCTTGGGATCATCTCCAAACTGAGCAAACTGGATGTCGTTGAGCAGGCTGCGGGCTGTCTTGATGATGTCTTTGCACTTCTTCGGAGTTTCCTCCACTTTGCCTGCTAGGAAAAGGCAGCATCCTCCTGTCACCTATGGAAACAACATGTATTTCTTCAAACTGTACAGTAACTTCTGTTGTCACTGTGCTGTTTGAGTAATGTGTAGACTACGGACGATATAACATAAAACAGGTTAGAGGTTGAGGTCGTCTTGTCTAAACAGGGCTGTTTAGACATGTGCTTCCAAAACACAGTGCAGCAGTTCAGTGTTTCCTCAATGAATAACATTTAGAAAACATTACATGCTCGAGTTAAAACGTACAGTAAAAAAAACTGCACTATTGGCGTTGTGAAAGAACTTTGGGCTAGCACAGAGATCTCCAGACTGAGACTGATGAAGAACTACATACTTACATATCTAGGGAACTGCTTGAAGGAGTGGAACATGTAGAAGCGGTGGAAGTAAACGATTCCAGTAGCCAGTGTGTCATAGTGTCTGCCGCCATAGAGGTTAAGAAGAGTGACAGACGGATCTCAACAATATTAGTATTATGTTAGTCTTTCTTTGTCTATGGTCAGAATTGAAATGAGACAATTACTGCTGATGAGGGGCAGCTGCAGTATAACTACAAATACATTTAGCCAAATGACACATTAGTTTACTCTGTAACGTTAAGTTCATTTTTGTCTTCATTCTTGAAGGCTACACATGCACAATGCAGCCTAGCCTGTAGCATTACACAAAGCAGTCACATGAACGTGTAGGTTTCACATACCGGGTCAGCTGTTATACAGTGCAACCGTGTACGCTCTGTTAACCAGGTAACAATAATGGTTCTGACTGTATGTAACGTTAGGTGATATATAGCTACGTTAACTAGCCAGTATGTTCCCCACGGAAGGATACAGCCCAAGCCGCGTGCCAACATCAAAGATGAAGCGAGCCCCCTCTCTGCGGTACCGGGCCTCAGTGGCGGGGTCCAGCCCCTCTGACTGGGATGGGGTGTGGGCCAGGTCCTTTTTGTCCCAGTACCAGCATGGCTTGATGTGTTCCAGGGTGGCCGCGTCCTTCCTGTCCCAGATTAACAGGGGTTTGATGTGGTCCAGGGTGGACAGGTCCGCGTTTTATCCCGCTGGCAGCAAGAACTAAGGCTGGGGATGAATTCAGTTGTCTTACTTTTGTGGAAGAAAGCGTCATGCAACGGCTAGCGACTGTTTCAGCAAGGCGGCGGACAACAGATGCTGCTAGCTACTGTCACATCTAGCGTTACTGGACAGCAATGGAAGTGATACAACCAATTAACTACTGAAAAGCACGTCACAATGTGTTCAACCTAACCACTGTTGTATTTACACAATAATGTCAGTAATCATCACAGGTGAGATGTCTACAAAAGGAATCCCGTGAATGTATAAAAAGTTGTTCTGTAGTTGTAGCTGTATTCTCTAGTCCAGCTGCAAGCGAGGGGAGCCACTCCATCCAAACAAAGACCACCGGCCCACAGTGGAGCAACATTAATGATTGGCACCTCATCAGCCAATCATTGTTGCCAACATTACCATTTATGGTCATTTCAATCTTTTGAAAAGTAAGTGTCCAATTGTAAGGCGTGGTGGGAGGGGCATAGATAGATTTACATACATCAGCCCCTCCCATGGACTGAATAGGCTGTTCCGCGGGCGTGCTGCCACACAACCTATTAGAAGGCCGGAGTCCAGTCCCGTTTCTGTGGGCGTAGTTCACGACTACTCCAATCACACCCGCAGCTCAGTCAAGGTAGGGTTCAGTGCAGGAACAGAGGAACTGCTGCTGTCACTTAAAAAAAGGTATGACTGAATTGGATAAATGTTTATGGTCTGGTTTAGTAAAGACTGACTTGGTGTTGAGTGTAATTATGTATAAATGCGTGCATTGGGTTTAGAGGCACTTGTATTTTAACAGGCAAGGTTAGCTAGCCAGCATGTCCAGCAGATTAGCCTGCTCCAAAACTCAGACTGATCCGTTATCACTTGACAGTTTAGCAGCTAACAGCTAGCATTGGGGCGTTTAGTGAGTCCAGCCAGTATAACGTAGATGAATGAGCTCTGTTCACCGTCGCCCTGCCCCGCTCCCAGCTCCTAATAAGTCTCCGCTCGGATGGGCGTGAATCCTCCAATGCTAGTGAGCTAAAGTTAGCTGCTGGCCTAGTGGAAAACACTACAAACGACCCGATTGCAAGCTAGTAAGGTTAGTAACTCTAACTCTTAGCTAGAATATAAAACCTCTCTTGTGCTATGTTCTAAAGTACGTCCCGACACTAACGTTACCGTGTTAAATACATATCATTAGATAGTCGTATTGCATATTGTTGTAGCTGTTAAACCGTTTAATTTCAGTGGTCAGTTCGCTGATAGCTGAGATTAGCATTAGAGGGGTATTCGTGACAAACCACGCTGCTAACTGAGACATTACCCGAGGGGTGTGTGAAGTATCCCCAAGTTTAAAGAGCTATATTATTCTCGTGCATTGTCCTTCCCTGCAAGTTTAGTTACCACAATTTAAGCGAGTTCTGTTCCCTTAAGGCTCGGACAGGAACACAGTTTTGTCTGCATGACTTCTGTCAGCTACTTGTATTGTTAAGACATAAAGTTTCTACCTTGTACACGTCTGACTGATTTGACAAGTTTCAGAAAAGTAAAGTTGGTTCTGCGACCCATCTGTGGTTGTCTTCATAACCACATGATTTCCTTTCATGTAATTCAAACCACTGATGGCTATGCTAGAATACATCTTAAAGCTGCAACGAGGAACTTAAATTTAGTTATTTTCTCTGATTTCTTTTTTTTTTTTTTTTTCTGACTAGGCGCGCGCACGATCAGTGAATTTCAAAAGTAATTGTCACAAATAGGTAACTGATTTAAAGCATTCAAAAGCATTTAAAATGCTTTAGAAACGGGAGGTCTTAAAAATCTACTTTGAGTAAATATTTTAAAGCCAAATCAAATAGTTTACAGGTTTTCCAACAATTTCTTTATAATGCATATAATACTTGACTTTTTGTTATTTATAGGGCTTGCCTAAAGGCAATAAAGTAGTCTATTAATATGATATATGAGTTTACAGTTGATTACAATTGGTTCTCTGCATTGTGTAGGATGCTTTTTGGCCTTTACACTTGTATTCTCCTCGCTTCTTCACAGTACATTTTGTTTGTATACGCTGGCGTTTCAGAGAATAATGCAACAAACGGCTCGTTGAGCATAAACACCTTTTGTGCGTGCTTGTAGCTCACGCGCCATCTGCAGAGGCTCTCGCTATGGTGCCACGCGCAAGTATAAACACTATAGTAAACCGAATTCTAATGCAGCAGGGTCTGACCAAGCCCCCAGGAAGAGGGGGTGCGGTCATTTGCTGGGCTTTGAGGCAAATTTCACATAGTGGCCAAACCGTGGAATTACAACTTCCAGGTCCATCACGTGATGCCATTGGTCCCAAAAATACTTCCCCCCCATTAACTTAAATTGGGAAAGAGATGACTGTAAATCAGCTGATTTTATTTTGTAGGTAAATCAACTTCCCACTACGAACACTTGAATAGCCCTAATTTAAATCATTAGGTCCTACATGTTGTAAAAGACACTAATAGTGGAATCCAGAGTCCTGTTCCTTCTTCTGTTGGTGTGAATGAGCCCAAGGCCGAGGGCTCCGAGGTGGGGTTAGAGAAACTCTAGTGTGCCTACAGTATGGAACGACATCCTGTCATTCCATTCCATATTTTGTCAGAATCCATTTAATTTTGTAGCCTACTTGTAGAAGCACAAATAACCAGGAAAGTGACTAAACCAACAAAATCTGAAGGGCCCAAAAGACAGTCTGCTTCTGAAATGCTGCCCTTGTTGGATGACACATTGTGGAGGACGGAACAACAACCGCGGAGGGATCTTGGCACATCCACCTTGCTAGCCTACTACTTCTTCTTTCTGTAGCCTGGCCTATGTGCTTTGTATGTTCCACAGCTGACCCATCTGGTTTAAATAAGGAGTCACGTGCGTCTGCCTGACCAAAACCAATTGGATAAAATGTGATGGAAGTAGCCGTGGAAACTAATATGGATCTATTGAATCACGCTTATCAAATAAATCAAATACTGCTTGATAAAGGATTTGAATCCAAATGACATCGCATGCTCTGTGCAATCCACTGCAGTATTGCGAGAGGTGCCCGCAACAGCCCACACAGTTGTAATGTATGTAGGAGTATAAATTGGGCATAACAAGTCGTGTCTGTCTGTCGAAAAATATTTCAGACATGAAAGTGCTCTCAGCAAGGTCTGTGGATTATCTTGAGTGACCAGGTCAGGATTTCTGGACAGAGACATTACTGTTGAGTTTTCCAAATGTTTGTTTGCACTTTGAGCACCACAAGCCGAGAGCCATGTTGTCCCAGTGCAGTTGAGAGAAGGCAGACATCTCTACGGCCACTAGGATGGGATTGTACTTTGGATATCTATTTTGAACCTACCTCAGTGTAACACATTTCTACATTTTTTTTTTTTTTTTTTTGCATTTGTTCTAATGTTTGTATAATCGTACAAACTTCATCTTGGGTTACTGACTTGCTAAGTATAGTGAGCCTTTATTAATTGTGCAAGCTTGAAGTTAACCAAATCTCTAACTTTGAAAACATCTGAGTTTATACACATTATGTTGTGTTAAGTTTATGATGGGCAGCTCTGTTTACAAATCGTTTAGTTTCCTGTCATATCAATTGGATGTTGATTGTTCTGCCTCCAATCAAAACCAAAGTCTGTTCAAAGAGGGGAGAGCATCGCTCCCCCTTCCATTTCTTCTGTATCTCACCCAGGACACTGATTTGTGCCAAAATGTTGAGTTTAATCGTATCCATTTGTTTACTCTGCATATAGGTATCCACATAGGTATGTTTGTATAGCTCACGTGTCATGATAACAAAGTTGTCATCTGTTGTGGAATTGTTTAATTCAACTGATGAGGTTTTCTTCAGTGTTTCATAGCATTCTGCAGCTGAGACAGCCCAACTTTCACTTATGGAAGAATACTCTACCACCAAACCACAGCTGAAGTCATGCTGTTACTGAGGAGAGTGGGAACAATATAAGTAACACACAGTGTGAGAGAAGTCTGTGTTGTGTATTTGAGAATAAGGGCAGTGTTTTATGTCAAATGACTCAGAACAAGGATGCTGCTACAGGCCACTTTCTATTTCTTTTCTTCTTCTTCTCTATGCAGTGTTGGAAATGTAACGCTCCAGTTGATACATCTCTTCTATTTGTTACTAATATTGAATTAATAAAAGATAATGGATGTAAATCCATCTGTTTTTTAATTAGGAACTATTGCAACTATGCAGTGTTTTTAAAATAGCAGAAAAATTAAATCATGTTATGAAAAATGTTGATGAACCGATAATGGTTTTATAATCACGTCGTAGCCCTCTGAATCCGAAACATTCCATTCATTTTGTTCATTGTATGGTTTGTTCCTTTTGTTCTCAGTTTAGTCATGTAGTCACGTAGAAAATGTTTCGTTTCTAAAGAAACTGTTCATATGATGTGTGTATATATGAACTAGTAAGTCACTGTATACCATACCATGAACTCTAGCAACCCATAGATTGAGACTAAACTGATTATCAAATTTTGAAGTTTTCCTTGTTCTTCCGGAATTGGGTGGCATCCTAAATTGAGTAGTTCCTGTGTTTGATTCACAATTGAGTTATTAATTCTTGTTACATATTTAGTAGTGGTGCAACGGATCCTAAAACACGCAGTTCATATCGGAACATCATTTCAACCCCTCTGAAGTCTGTAAACATCAAAGGTTCTAAAGGTTATCCTTTTACTTTGTTTAAGTCATTTAGTGTTTTTTTTTCATAAAGGCACACAATTGATAAGGAAATAAAAGATTTGTTTTTTTCATTGATAAAAACAAATCTTGTCATTAGTAGTTTTAATGATGTATTATAATCTGATTAGAGTTAGTGTAAACGGCTTATTGTTCATCTCTAATATCTATTTATGTTGCTGTGAAAACTCCTTCAAACAACTGGATTTATTAAGTTTCTCACTAACACTACATTTTACGAGATCACATGTGAACACATCATGATAACATTATAATTTACCTTCACCCAACACTCATTTTCACTGAACGGAGCGTGAGCGCATCATAATGTAACTGACCTGAACCTTCATTCATTGTCCATTAGCCACTTTACTAGCTCTCCTCCTGTCGGTTTAAACACGGATTGGTTGTTTACATGTAACATTATCAAAGATCCGCTACTAAAAAGGCATGAATGATGTCCTGATCACATATTTTACTGAACATTGGCAGATAACGATGTCAGTAAAACTTTATTTCAAACTGTGATGGTTAAGGTAAACTGTTCACATGTGTGCCAAACCGTAAGGGGTGATCCGTACAGTGATCCCTTACACCACAATACTGTGTGGCGATTCATTATTAAATCTGCTTCAGGGAATAACACTACAGGTAACGGTAATCATGGTGTGTCTTCCCAGCCCAGTTGTCCATCCAGCACCATGGGAAAGAAGAGTCGAGTGAAGATTCAGAAGTCCGGTTCAGGAGCCAGCACTGTGGTTTCCCCCAAGGAGATGATGAACCTGATCTCTGAGCTGCTGCAGAGTATGTTTCACTTCATTCTTTACACCCTGTCCACCTTCATAGTCCTCTGTGATGCTTCTTTACTCACTCATTCCACATCCCAGTGGTTACAGAGAAGTCTAGATAGTACCTGAGTAAGATGGTGTCCAAACCGACATCAGACCCCTTATTTATTTCACTGAGGTCACTGCATTGAGCAAGTGGGGTGCCCACACAGATATTTCCTCATTTCACTACCAAAAGGTAGCTGGCTGGTTAGAAGGAGATTGCCAGGGAGCTCAAAGTTTGCTCCTTGCTGTTGACTATATTGTACTGTATATGTTGTCATTTCCAGTAAATATTACACAATATGAAACGTGTGTATTCTGTTTAAAAAGTACAACCGCCAGTAGATAGAAAGTACTACTCGTCTGTCTTTCAAGTGGTTACTTCTCCGGTCTGATCTTGAGCACACTGCTGATATGTAAGTGGTTTGTTTGAATGACTTAACGTAACGCTTGCTGTTGGGACAGGGTGTCTCTCTGTGTGTTCAAGTTCTCTGTCATCGTTAATTGCGGATGACATGAAACCTGTCGCTTCACACACAGCCGCTTCAAAAACATCCGGGCAAAGCGTGTTCGGCAAAACAGCTGGTGCGCCTGTGCATTAAGGGTTGTTAAACGATTCCTTGTTCAGCTTGACCAATCCTCACCGAAAGCGTTTCATAAGCATCAGTCACTCATCATGCCTCCATTACATTAAATGTATCAATCCACACCCACTCTAAGAGACTCACGTCTGATGGAGACCCCCCCCACCCCCACCCACACCCACACACACACACACACTTTTTTTTTGGAGTCGGTGTGGATTGAATGACAGAACGCCGTCCACGTCTCGCTTTCAGATTCCCAGTAAAACGTTCCATTTCATTTTCAATGAATGAAAGTGATGTTTGACTCCTGTCATGCGGTGCATTCAGTGTGTCCAAAGCAGACGGATGCGGTAGTGATTTTTTATTTTTATTTTTTATTTTATTTTTTTCCTTCTTTACAATAGAATATAAATTTACATGTTTAAATATCATCTTTTTTTATTATACTAGTCGAATACACATTCAGATTTAGAATATTCATTGACAGAACTATTGTCCCGTCTGGGAGTTGTCGGTGTTTTTGTCTTCCAACTTTAACCCTTTCACGGTGTGTTTTCAGTTCATGAAAGTTCATTGTAACCTTCTTGGTCGGATAAAATGCCTTCTTCATAGTTCGGCTGTACCGTCTCGTGTCACTTGTGGTTGCAAAAAGCCACGATGGCAACAGCCAAAAACCAAGATGGAGATGACCAAAATGCTGAACACAAGGCTTCAAAACATCAGTCCACTAACCAATGGGTGACGTCACAGTGACTATGTCCACTTCCTGTATACAGTCTATTGTCGTAATGTCTTAAAAGTCAGTTTGAACGTCTGCTTTTCATGTTGCAACCTGAAACACCAGAGATGAGTGAAGCTGGAAGGATGCCAGAAAAGGAGACAAGGGAAAAAACAGTTGTGACAGGCGGTATAACTGATTTATATTACTCTGAGTTGGCATTCACCAGAATTGCATCAAAGTTTGAGTCGGTAGAAAGCAGTGCATCCACAGGTTTCTGCACTTACTATTGATTTAGGTTAACATGTCACGGGTAAGGTGTGAGTTGGCTGTGCTATTAATTTAAAGTGATAAAGTTGAGATGTTTATGGTCTGCATACTTCTCCAGAATGCAGCAGTGCGGCACCCTCTGCTGGTAAAGAGTGGGAGGAGTACATCCAGATCAGAGGCCTGGTGGACAAGATTAGCAAAAAACAAAAAGGTGAGTACACGAGCATGCAGCTAAGCACAGAGTATTATAAGTAATATTTAGTGATAAGCAATATTAGATTTCATGTCATTTAAAGTCAGACTAGTTTATAGGTGAAAATATTTTTTTTGCTGTGTGTATTAAGGTATGTCGATAGTGTTTGACGGCAGCAGAGAAGACCACTTTCAAGACTTGTTGTCCTGGGCTCAGGAAAGCGGGGCGTCCTGTGACAGCTTCACAGTGGCCAACTTTGGAACCGAGGGCTACGGCTTGCAGGCCACCAGAGACATCAAGGTGAGCTCAACCCTGTGGTTGTCCCTTTTTATTCTTCAGGGTCCCCCACTACTTCATTGACTCCTGGTGCAAAATAAAATCAATCTCAACATTTTAAGACCAACTGGGCTCCCCACAGACTCCAGAGGTATACTGTTTGTCAGATTTTTCAGGACTGTGTCAAACAATTTGTTCCTAAAGACTTCATATCATTGTTTTCTGTTTCTATTTTAATTGCTGCTCTGAAAAAATACTAATGCATTGGGGTCTAGGGGACCCCAGTCAAAAGCACTAAATTGCAGCATATGCAGTTATGATAAATTAAATAGAATAATGGATCAAATCTGATAGGTCCAAAGTTTAAATATTGTCTTCCCGACAACAATGCTACAAGCCTGTATGTTCTCCGATGAAATGTTGACACCTCGTATTGCCAGATATGAGTCAAATTGGAACGCAAGCACCGATGAACAGAGCTGAGGTTGGATTCTACCCAACCTTAGAGAGCCTCGGCTTCTTTCTAAAAAGCTATATGACCAAAGACTTAGTAAAACACGGGGAAATATTGGAGATGCATTTGAAAGATGGAGACAGCTTAGAGCAGGGGTTCTTAACCTTTTTGACCTCGGGGCCCAACTTTTCAAGTACAAAGTGTCCCGGGGCCCATTAAAATATTAACACTATTAGTTTAACTAATTGATCTCACTCTTGGTTTGATTTGTATTCAATAACTATATTGTTACCTGTTCAACTCCACCCCTATTTTGGAGCAAAACCGCCTAAAATGACATACCCAAATTAAAATGGCTGTAGCTTCTGAACCACTCTGACTATATGCATCAAAAGTGTCAGAAAACCTGTAGGTCATACAGAAACAGAGCAGTGGGCCTTTGGAGTCAGTAAAAATTGAAGATTTTGTCTGCATAAAATAAAAAGAATCTTTCAGTATAAATAACTGCCCGTAGGTGTATCTGTACAGGTAAAGGACAGTATAGGGCTGTAACTACATTTACTATATTTGGAGACCCAAATGGACACATGGTAACCAAATGATATTCTGACACACTAAAGGTGTTTCTCCCTTTATATTTTGATATTATATTATTTTCCTTTTATTTTTAGCCATTGCAAAAACTATATATATATGGTCAAAGACATGGTGTGTGAGTAGCGGACTTGCTGTGCGTAATGGCTGCGAGTATGCGGGTAACTCAGTTACGCAAGGTTATACGTTGGTTGACGGCTTATAGAAGAGGAAGATAAGGTTTGTACTGTAAGGACTAGCATTTTCTGAAGCCACTAGCTCCATGGTAACATCCGCTAGCACATTGTCGGGTCTGTAATGTGTCTTTTTCCGTCGAAATGCTGCAAGATCCGACTTGCAGCGGTTATGGCGAATTTGGACAGTGTGTGTTTGGGCTCCTTTTGTGAAAAATCCATAAGAAATGAAAGAAAATCGATGATTTCTTTGCAAAGATGAGGATTTGGGGCATGCTGGGATACCAAACGCAGCCATGTTTTGTGACGTAGTTTGCGCAAGCAAGCCATAGGAAGGGGAGGGGATCAAGGACGCCGGCGTCCTCGCGGAGTTGAACAGGCAAAACCCTTGTCAAATAAATGAGATGATACAATGTGATGATCATGAAGACATTTATTTGTCATGTGTATGTAAACCTGCATACACTTCAAGAAGCCCAACAGGCTTTCCCACGAACGTTGGATGTTTCGTCGCCAGGTGTCGCTTTAGTTTCGAAGGCTTCAGTGCTTCGTGTGATAGCATTAGCCCACATTCCACACACTGAGCCCTCGGCTCTGCCTCGTTGCCTCCGTTCACAAAGCCGTACTTAAGAAAGTCAGGATTGTACTTGCGCACACATTTGGACTTTTGGGGGGGTATGGCACCACTGTTGTCTTCATTTTTTTCTTTTTAAAAACGTATCCATAACTTTCGCTACAGGCTCGCGACTAGCTGAGTGTCTTCTTCTGCTTATTGGAGCTTGTTAAACGACTGACGCATTACCGCCACCAGGTGGTGGATAGCTATATTGTAACTGAGCGTCTCATGGATAACAGTAATATCTCTGGTGTCTTCAATTGATAACCTATGCGGCCCACAGCTGCAAAACTGAAAGTTTTTTGCGGCCCTCTAGGTGGCTGGCTTAGAGGACTTGAACAGGTAAGTATTTAGCTTCAGCTACGGTAGGCCAAGTTCTTTATCAACATTCAGGTACTCTGATTAACAAAGTACATGCCGTCATGCTCCATCACACTGGAGGAGGTGACGAGGCTGTTTTCTACCTCAACAACCAGCAAATTGACAAAATGTTCAAATGCAATTCCACTATGACGTTACGTCGAACAAATACTGACTTCCTAATTGGGTACTTGAGTAACGTTACTCATTTAATAGAAGCAATATTCACATTTTAGAAGAGTTTATTCAACTTTGTAACTGAATCAAACATGTTCAAATTTTGTTCTTGCACTCGTGTCGTCAACCTGGGGACCCATGTGAGCTTCGGATCGGGGAAGGAGGGGCTGGGGAAGACAATCTTGAATGACCCGGAGTAGTTCTAGTAGTCAATAGTTTTTCTCCCCCGCAGACATGGATGGAACTCCTGCAGCCTGTTGTGGCAGATCGACAGAGGCAGAGCAAGTTTGTTACATTGTGTTTCTGTGTTTCTATGCAGGCAGAAGAACTATTCCTGTGGATTCCCAGGAAGATGCTCATGACTGTGGAGTCGGCCCAGAACTCTGTACTGGGTAAGGATTTAAGATGATAAGTTTATAGTATCAAACTATTTGAGCTCCATGAGGAAATGGGGGCCATTCCAGTAGCAACTAGCTACTGCACACACACGCACTCCAAAGCATGATCTCCCTTTTCTGCTATATTGTCAAATACTGTTTTAGATATCTAGGTTACATATATATATTGTTTCAGCAGTATTTCAATAAATATTACAGTGTGAAGACTGTCCTAACCACACATGGAAACATACTGAAGCAAGTTTGAACTTAGACATATAACCTGGAATTTGCCAAATCAGTACCTACGAGGCTTTCTTCCACCACAGGTGTTCTGTGAAATTAATAGAACTTTTTCCACCCTCAGATTTTGCAAACTTCAACCTGTATGACAGCACTTAGACAAGATTTTCAGTCTGCTCAGGTAGCGTTCTTCTGTCCTGTAACCTCCATGTCTCAGGTCCTCTCTACAGCCAGGACAGGATCCTACAGGCCATGGGCAACGTGACTCTGGCCTTTCACCTGCTGTGTGAAAGGGCCGACCCGGCTTCATTCTGGTTGCCGTACATCCGCAGTCTTCCTCAGGAGTACGACACACCGCTTTTCTACCAGCAAGAAGAGGTGCAGGTGCTTCTGGGCACACAGGCAGTGCAGGACGTCCTGAGCCAGTACAAAAACACGGCACGCCAGTACGCTTACTTCTACAAACTGGTACAGGTGGGCAGAAGCACTGAACACACAGACACACAAAGGCGTATAGATACTGTAAATTCAGTCCGTTACGACATAATGCACAGTAAACGTATGCCAAATGTTTTGTGAGCATTCCTATGGAAGCCCAGAAAATGTGCAAAGACTAAAAGAGAAACCCAAAGGTAGAAAGTTATCATTTCATTCTGTCTTTAATGTGTGTTAGTGCCAGATCTGGGAAGTCACTAGGTTTCATAGACCTCTTTTCACAGTAGACGTTTTGACTCGTCACTGCAGAAAAAGATCAGGTGTTACTAATAACGATAATGATGGCTGTGTTTCTTGAGTCGAGATGAAATGAAAAAAGCCTTTTTAACCCTATTGGATCACATCCCCGTCTATATTGTGCACTTATTTAACAATATATTCAAATAATTACAAAAACAAATCGCATTTCTTCACATAAAACATGTGAAAATGTTCCAGATCGCTTTGACTGTGTTCTGTTTCACAGTGTAGATAAAAAGTGCTCACTACTCCCTAAATTCCTCCATTCTGAACACACTGCTGACATCACTTCCTCCATCCGTTACCCTGGTAACTAAAGCAACTCGGATACCGGTTTCTTCTAGTGTGGAAACTACTCCTGAAATATAATATTGAATATATATTGAAAATGTATTTTGGTGGTCTCCTCCCTCCCTGTATTAAAAGTTGGATTAGATATCAATACCATTATCTATAAACTCATCAATCAGAAGCACAGCGCTGGCTGCATAATGAGTGCTGTACTCGGCAGCTGGTAAGGAGTGTTTGGGGTGCAGCAGCGCTGACGACTAACTTTAACGTTTGTTGGAACTGGTGAATCTAAATAGAATGAAACCATTATTAATATAATGAATTACACCTGTTGACATGTACATGTATCTGTGGTGAAACAGGTTTATTACTGTACACAAGTATAGCTTTTGCAGCTTTTGGGGGCGGTTTGCAGCTGAGTGTGAAGCGGTGGGGATGAGAGTTGGCACCTCCAAATCTGAGGCCATGGTGCTCTGCCGGAAACCGGTGGATTGCTCCCTCCAGGTGGGGACGGAGTGCCTACCTCAAGCGAAGGAGTTCAAGTATCTCGGGGTCTTGTTCACGAGTGAGGGTAAGATGGAGCGGGAGATCGACAGACGGGTCGGTGCGGCTGCAGCAGTAAAGCAGGCGCTGCACCGGACCATCTTGGTGAAGAGGGAGCTGAGCCGGAAGGCAAAGCTCTCAATTTACCACTCGGTCTACGTTCCTACCCTCACCTATGGTCACGAACTCTGGGTCGTGACCGAAAGGACAAGGTCGCGGCTACAAGCGGCCGAAATGAGTTTCCTCCGTAGGGTGGCCGGGCTCAGCCTTAGAGATAGGGTAAGGAGCTCGGTCATCAGGAGGGAGCTTGGAGTCGAGCCGCTACTCCTTCGCGTCGAAAGGAGTCAGCTGAGGTGGTTCGGGCATCTAATTAGGATGCCTCCTGGACGCCTCCCACTGGAGGTTTTCCAGGCACGTCCAACTGGGAAGAGACCCCGGGGAAGACCCAGAACACGCTGGAGAGATTACATCTCCCAGCTGGCCTGGGAACGCCTCGGGATCCCCCAGAATGAGCTGGAACATGTTGCCGGTGAGAGGGAGGTCTGGGTCGGCCTGCTTGACCTGCTGCCACCGCGACCCGACCCCGGATAAGCGGTGGAAAATGGATGGATGGAAGTATAGCTTTGAGGTATAATCAGTGTTTCTGTTGTTAGAGATTTTGTACTTTTACCCCAGTGACGATCTGATGGTCTTAGTTACTAGATTGAGATAAATGAGATGGCTTGGCTTGGGTTTTACTGGTTTAAGAGTTAAATGGCATAGCAGTACCTAAGATAATTAAGACTTGGTGCCACGTTGACTAGTTCTAGCAAAAATAATACTAATAAATAACACTTAAAAGACACTACACAACCATTGTTACCCATCCATACAGTCTCTCAGACTCCTTTATTGTTGCACCTGTTTGGGTGAGATTTTCTGATCAGACAAGCATGATCTGAACCCAGCTGTGTCCACATATGTGTGTCCACACTTTACACGTCAATGCAACAACAAACGCATCTTCCTATAAATTGTAAACGATAAAAGTCCCTTGTACTCTGAGCAAGAAGCACCATGTCACTATAGTGAGAATAGCGCTGATCCACCTTTAAAGTCAGCCCACCTCAAGCTAGCCTGAGCCAAAGTTGTTGCTGACTTTGGGGCTAACCCTCTTCACTTTAATCAGCAGGATGCAAGGACGACACAGGAACCTGGCTTGGGTTGTGAGGAGTTATAGCCTTCCTAACTCATCATAAAACACACTTGATTCAAATGTGGATAGAAACTAACCACGTTTTTATTTAGTCTTTCCACTGTTCCAACAATCAGCAACTCTGGTTTGGTTGAAGAAACTCCTTCATTCACAGAGTAGGGTATGAAAACATGCCGCCTCTACATGCTGTTTTTCCCCCGTTGTAGCTCTCGTTGGTGGCTCTCACTTTTTCAGAGGCTAACTATTAAATTAGCAAAAATACAATGAAAAAAATCTCCCTACTTAGCTTGGTTGTCTCATACCGTTTCTGTCCATGATCCTGAAGAAGGTCCAGCACACCTCTATACCAAAGAAGAGGAAAACCCTAATGCTCAGTGATGCGCACACGGCTCACTCTCTCGGGGTTGTCATCAGCGACATCATCCAACAAAAACTGCCCACGCTGACATTCATTACAGCAGAATGATTCTTTTGATATGAATTTGATGAAAGGCCCCACCAGTCGGTGTTTGCTCTCAGCAGCTCAGGTTCTAGAAGCCTGGAGCGGCCTCTCCGTCTGAATACAGCTGAATCAGAGTCGGACGAAACACTGTATAATGTACACTGTAAAACTTCTCGTCCATAGCGTCCTCTACATTCATGTTTTGATGATGCCATTCCACTGCTAGAAATGTAACTAGTTTGCAATAAGAGCAAAGAGAACAAGGAGGTTTTTGAAAGGCATCCACCAAAGTTAAGTAGCACTCTGTCGATCTTCCTCACGTCAAGGATTAAGATCTGTCAATTCCCTTTTCATTGAATTCAAACCACCAGGATCTCGGATGTAACAATGTATCTGCTTCATTATTAGAAAGCCAACACAGCTCATTATGGCTGCCTGCTACCACTCACTGAACCCACGGCAAACACTAAATCCTCACCATCACATTTGGCAGTTTTACTCCCTGAAAACACAAATGGCAACTTCAGTTGCTGTTGTTGTTGTTGTTACACTTTATTTTAACAGTTTTATTCCCAACATACATTAAAACAGTTGTTTATATCCTCAACAAATGATTGGAAACAATGATGTAAACTTACTGAACCAGGACAATGTTGGATTCAAGATAAGAAGGTAGAGATGAATCTGCTGATTAGCCCGCTAATTGAACAAAAGCAGTTGGAATTGTAGAGGAACTAACTAAGCAGATATCCTTCTATAAAGTTTATTACTAGAGGTACTTCATAACACTACTGTCTCTTTGCTAAATGCTGTTGACTCACAACCAGTCACATTAGCATCAACAGGTTACTTTGGGGGGGTCTGTACAGGCCTTTTTACCAGCAGGCATTTGGACTTGTCATAATAGGACACCATTAACAGTGGCTACATTCTGTTTAAATGTCCCAGTAAGTCATAATAGTGTGACAGTGACCCAGCATGAACAATGCCCGGACCCTGAAGGGGAGACACTGGGCCAGAACAATCCATTTAAAAGGTAGTTTAGTTTGAGGAAACTGAGCAACACCTTAAATCTGAAGAGGAAGTGAACTAACATAGTCTGATCTATTGTCATTAGTGAACTAAGGAGCGTGTTCATATCGCTGTTTGATGTATGACAAAGTAATTATAGAGTATTTCATTTCTTGCATGATTTAATGTTTTGAATTAAAAGTGCTTTCAGCTTTGTGTGGTGCAATGTTTACCCTCCGTACCGCTGTCTGAATCCTAACTCTTGATGCCATATCTTGTCCAGGGACTGCTGATGAAATGTAGCTATCTAACTAATTAGGAGACAGTCCATTGTCCCTGTTGAATTTATACAATAGATTTACATATGAAGACCAGCAGTACCCCCTTTCAATAGGTCAGTTGGTGAACTTTTGAAATTATCATTCAAAGACTTCATCAGTCCGGTAATGTGCCAACAAATACAATAAGATATAAAGACAATGATTAGCAGGCCCAAGCAGCAGGTATTGGGATAGTTATCTCCCCACGTGCTCATGTCCTATTACTAAGCTGTAACATGGGGACATGACAGCCCAGCTTTGATCAGAACTCACCACAGTCCTTCTCTCTGAAGTCCTCTTATATCAAAGAAATAGTTTTCAAAGAATCTATTCTATACGTCAGGTGTTTGTGTTAGTTAGACAATAAACAGGCAGTGGAGTGAATGATTTGCACGTCAGGATAACAGGCATGATATCTGTACATTGAATGGAATATTTTGTTTTTGAAGATAAATGTGTTGCTTATCCTCTTTGAAGATGACTTAGCGATGTGATGTCAGTGGACTGCACTGGGTGGCAGTGTTGCATTCTAAATGACCTGATGTCAGCGAGGTAGAAGAAGAATCCCAGCGCTTGGTTAGTGACCCGGTGCTCTTTGTTTTAACGGTATGAAGCGCTCCATGGGATTGATGTTGATTGTCTGGAGGCCATGGAGACTCTGACACTTTTTCTTTGAGTTTTCCTACACTTGAATGTTGTAAAGCCTCTTTGCCAGAGTAAAAACCAAGCGATCAATACATTATCTTTAAATGATTCATTCGGGGATGTTCGACGGACAAACACCCGTTGTATAATATGGTGTCGTTGGGTGTCTTTCATTCACATCTAACCTGAATGTTGCACATAGTGAAACATCACGCTCTGTGTTTTGATATCAACTTTTCAACTGTGTCTAGTTCTGGTATAAGTAGAGGTGCTGCGACTGAAGAAAGTGGCATGTTTCTGAAACCAAGTGGTTACATCATGTCATCCTGTGACTGCTGCTAACCCCAGAGTGATGCTAAGTAGGTTATGATGTTGATGGTTTAAAAGTTATATTTGAACTAGCCGTTGTAGAAATGTTCATGGCTAGCATCGATAAGGATTAAATATGATATGCACTTCATACCTTTTTGTTATTCTTTATGTATTTACTAGTACCAGCAATGCAATCTTTCTAATCCAAAACAAATATTTTACAAAACATGAAGGATTTGGATTTTGTATTTTTGTCCTAACAGATTTTTGATTATGTTCTTCATTTGCATAGACTGAAAAATACAAGTCACTACGTGTGTCCTAAATGTACGACTTCTTCCATATTTACATTTTCCATATTATATGAGCCATTTTCTGTGTTCCAGTATAAAGTATGGACGTCCTAAAGATGCAATGTCCACAAGGAAAGAGAAAAGACAGTTATTCTTACTTGTTATCTTAAATACATCATTGTCTTCATTGTATTCTCTTGAAGCGAGGCTTTTCGGATTTGAGCAACAAGGAGCTGAATTTCTAATGACTCATACAATGTGTATTTATTGAAAGAAATATATTAATAGGTATATAAAAAAGGGCTGTGCTAGTATAATAAATTGGTAGCTACACGCTTACTAATACGGGTGGGGTGAAAAATCCATAGTATCGCCATATTTTGCGTAGCAATATTGCATTTATACATCAATTTATTTATCATATAAACTATTAATATTGCAAGTACAAACCTTGCATAATATCATTGAGTATATATGTTATTGCAATACTCAGCATGTCTTAAAATGTTGTGACTCAGATGGTATCGTGACTTAAGTATGGTGATGATATCGTAATGTGGGGTCTCTGGTGATTCCTGCCCCTACTTGCTAATAACTTGATTTAAGATTCGGACAGCGTTGTGTTGAGAACACTGACCAATCAGAGTTCATTTGAATGCATCAGTTTTGGACACATTTCTGCAGAGGTTTTCATGAAAATCCCCACTTGTGAACTCTGTATTGATTCTTATCAGGAATTAGGCCAGCCGTCTTCTTTGCGGAGACAAGCCAACAAAAGTCCCTCCTCCCGTGCATGTTTTGATTTGGAGTGTGCACGGATAGGAGGGGGGATTCACAGACCGGTCCACTGAGACAGCGAAGGGGGGGGGGGGGGGGGCTGAGCATACCAATGCACAGCTAGATAGTGAAACACAATCAAACCCATTTTAAATATAGAAAAAAATAATAATAATATGTGCCGGTCAATGTTGATGTTGTTATTGTGTGTTAAACTGTTCGGTTTCAGTGCTGTATTTAATACTGATCCTGACAACCACACACACTTAGACACACAGCTCTGTGTGGCACTTGGCTTGAGTTGGAGACGAGACTGAGCATGGAGGTGTGTGTCCTGTATCCTCATCTCTGATAAATCTTCTTTCTTAACGCGCACACGCACACTCATCTTCTCGTGTAGCCCCTTACTCTGCTCCTTCCTCCTCCTCCTCCTCCTCCTCAGATGACCGGGCTGGAAAATTAGCTTGTCACATTGGCTTTGAATTGAATTGACCTGAATGTACCTTCCTCAAAAACCCCTCTCGCTCTCTTTTTCTCTCTTTTC